ATGGTGAGTTATTATGATTGAAAGAGTGTAATTGATATGTGTTGTAGTTCCTAGTCCAGTAACTAGTCTCTCAGTATTTAATGTCTCAACGACTGGTATTACAGTGAAGTGGACTATTCCCAGTAGTGACAACTATGTAACATACTACACCATCTCCTATACTCCATCTTGTCCGGAGTTGTCATCAGTGAATGAGACAGTCTCTGTTGCTCCTCATCAGTCCACTACAACATACAGTTATACATTAATAGGTCTGTACAGTGGTATGAACTATACCATCACAGTGAGAGCTGGTAATGTACTAGGAGGATCTGATCCTAGTTTTATTGATGAAGATACATTGTCAATAGGTATGATGATTGATTATTTGTATTTTTTTCTATTTTGTGTGTAGCCCCTACTGGTGATGCTGATTTTTTGTTTTTATTACAACCAATTAATAATCTCACTTGGAATGAGGTCAATTGTTCTGAGCGTAATGGTCTAATCACAGGCTATACAGTGATTATCAGTAACAGTAGTATCACATACTACCTCACCAGTACTGAGAGATATATCATATTGAATGATCTAGTATTTGGTACTGAGTATAACATCAGTGTAGCTGCTGTCAATTCTGTTGGAAGAGGTCCCTTCAGTGATCCTATTGAAGTAGAGATTGGAATAGGTATATAATTATTATATTATATCAGTTGTGTGAAAATGTGTGTTTATTTAGTACCTGGTCCAGTTGGTTCAGTATCCAGTATCATGGACACTACATGGGCTGTTATCTCATGGAGTGTACCTAGTTTTATTCCATCAGACTATCCCATTATCACATATGAGATAGGATATCATATCTTACAGTCTGGTAACTGCTCAATAGTAGATGATGATGACATTGATATTCAAATGCTACAGTTATCTAATTCAACCAATGGCAATACATTTATTAACATCACTGGTCTTAATGATATTTCTTGTTATATTTTTGGTGTACGTGCATACACTGATAATGGATATGGAGAATGGACAGCTATTGCTAATGAGACACTAGAGATACCCCCACTACCGTCACCTTCCCTAATATCAACTACTCAATACTTCACTACATCAAGTGTCATTTCCTCCTCTGTATCTACTACTAGGGACACCTCTACTACCACAAGTAATGGACTACAATGACACAGCAGTAATTTAATGTTGTATATTTATTTCTCTTAGGTTTAGTGCAACCATCGACAACGGCATCAACTTCTCCACCTGCTGTAGCAGGTATCAATTGCTTTGATTGAATCTTTCATTTCATAAACTTCTTCCATTTTCCTTCTCTTTCCTTTCACTTATTGATGATTGCTTTTTGTTTTTATTTTGCTTCTTTTTTTCTTTATTTTCAGGTGATACAGGCTTGTCTCCAGTAGTATTAGGAGGTGCTGGAGGTGGTGCTCTAGTTGGAATATTAATAGTAATAGTGCTCATACTGATTGTTGTACTTGTACTAAGGTAATGATAACTTTCAACTTTCCTTTTATTTTATTATTGATATTTTTCTTTCACTCTCTCTTATTATGAAACAGACGAAAGAAAAGAAGTAAAGATACATTATACATCAGTGGTGGTGCTAGTGTCAAGAAAGATGTAATAAATGACATACCTTTATTGGAGCAAAAAACATCTCTCACCAGTGAACCAGGTAATACAATACCATTCATGCATTACATTAGTACACATAAATGTATCATATTGCACTCATAATTTGCTATCAAGGCCTATTGGTCACATGAAATTACCCTTTTACCATAATTGGTTGTACTAAAAATGATCAGCATTTCTTGCATACTGTGAGTGGTACTATGTAACGTGTCATTACTACTGAATGTAGTGTAA